CACAGCACCCGGGCACCTTTGTAAAGTGCGGCAAAAGAGCGGGGGATATATATATATATATATATTATATATATTTTTCAATCATGTGTCATGTGTGCTTCTGTTTCCAATTTTTTTTAAACTTTTTATGCTTCTCATTGTGCGCATCTTGCACCTTGCGAGGCCGTTGAGTGGGTCTTCAGCCGCAGTCAGCCAAATGCTGATTGAGGCCATTTGTTTCGGTCGGGAGTCTTTTGACATCTCGGTCATATGTGAATCCAAGGGTCTTGCATCGCATCGATTTCAAGTCTGTTTTTCCATGTCTTTGGGTCCGCTTGACGAAATGGAGCTGGTTCACCATGGTTACCTGGTTACCAATGAGTTTTTAGTCTGGCCCTTTTCGTTCGGATGATCATGTTCAATCCGAAGACCAAACAGGTGGTAAACTCAACTAACTCCACTTCCAAACAAAACGGTTTGGAACTCATGTGGCTGCCAGACTGAAGGATCAGCCTGCTCAAACCGCTTGGAGAGCGCAGCTCTCTAAAGGCTGCCTGGGTCCTGGTAGGGTGGTAGGGCGAGGGGGAGGGCAAAAGGATGCAAATTTTGCATGTGCTGCTTGATTCATGGCATGAATCCTGACCATGAACTGAAATTGGAGCTCCAGTCCTTGCGTTTCATGACGTGACTAAAGTTCGAGGAGCTCAAGTCCTTTTGTAAGACTGGGCCTTTTCTTCTCCACCAAAGCTATTCCCTTCATGTCCGTCCAGGAACTGTCGTTTTTCCCCGTGATCGCAGTTTCGGTCTAAAAGTGCTATTTTAGCGCTGGCCACCTTCGTGGAGACCGATGGCAGCGCCTCCTTCATGGGCCCCGATGGGGAGCAAGTTCTGGGAGCTGCACCGAAAGCTGGCCGAATGCTACGAGGAAGACCTGCTGTTGGCCAAAAGCACCGCGGAGCTCGGCTGGAGCGGCCGAAGTCCAAGGGAAGACCCAGGTGCAGCAGCCTCCTTTGGGTGGGTTTTTTCGCTTCGTTCTCTTCCAAGCAATCGTTTTCGGTGTGGAAGAACCGGTCAAACTGGCAGCTGCCCCCATAATCCACAAGGTTTCACCCTGAAAGAAACCACGGAGGAATCATCAACTATGAACTGGTGAATGTTGGTGATCAAGCCTCCTCCCCCGAAAAAAGAACCCACCCCAAAACCATTCCCCCTTGGGCTCTCTCCACCCACGGGCATGGGGGTGGTCAATACTATCGCCATGCATCTGATCTCCACGGGAAACCCCACGGCGGGTTTCCCGCGGGGCGACCCGCATGGGTTTGACCCGCATGGGAGGGGTCCGGACCCCGCCCCGAGCCCCGCATCGGTCCGATCGCTCCTCGCGGCTCGGGGTCCGGAGCATCGACCGGGGGGGGGGGGAACCCCGCTCCCGGGCAGGTTCGCCTGGATTGGAGGTGCTGGCACTGCAATCCATCGGAGAAGACCCATCAGAGCCTCCCCCACCGGTCCACCTGACGGATGTGAGGAGCGGTTCTTTCGATCCGAAGCGGGACAAGGGGACAAGGGAGGGCAAAGGAGGCGGCGGCAACGCAAAGGAGGTGGCCTTCAACCAGGAAGCAGAAAGGCAGAAGGCCCCAACAATCATCATTTGATTTTGAATCTGTCTGATGTGTTTTTCGGCAGCTTGCCGAGCTGGAGGAGCTTGCCGAACTCCACTTCCGCCTCTCCAGTGTATCCCTTCACCAAAATGCGTTCGGCACAGTCCGCTTCGGACTTGAAGCCTTCCAGGCAGGCGATCTTTTTTGGGGTTCTTGAAGCAAGCGGTGGGATTGAATTGTGCCACACCATGCCAACTTCTGAAGACTTTCATGGACGTCCATACGTGGAGGCCATCGGTACTAGGGCTAGGGTGGAGGCCATCGCTATCAACTAGAAACAAAAATAGAAAAGAAAAGGAAGAAAGGTCTAATATAGTTTATACATAGTCCATACATGTCCATACCAAGCGCCTGGGCCCTTCCTTGCCCTTCTTTGACCAACGCGAAACGATGCCGATCGTTCGTGGGTTTGCAGGTTGCAGACCAGCAGCTTGGAAGGGTCTCAAGACTTGGACATGCCGAAGGTGGCTTTGTTTGAGAACGATGTGGTTGGGGATTTCGGGGTGAGGATGTCCACAAAAAAGACAGCAGTTGATATATGTTTTTCTTTTTTCCTATTCTTTCCAATACGGCATTGATAGATAGACATATATAATTATATATATGTATATCTTTCCAATACTGTCAAAACCGCAAGATTCATTCGTTGGAGGATGTTTTTTTGGGATTCCGCTTGGGGGGCTTCCGAACAAAAGGGTGCCGGAAAGAACATGGGCACGTGTCATTGTCATTGTCAAGAATCAACTAAGAATCCACATGCTGGCTCTATGAGTATCCTAGATGTTCCTCATCCCGCGGTACACCTGAGTATCTGAAGAGAAGTCCATCGTCGCAGAAGTCCCACGCGACGAGGCTCTTGAGCGGACCGCCTTGACGAAAGGATCCGTGCCCTTGACCTCTCTGAAGGCGAGGATCCGCTCTGTTTGCGGGTGTTGCTTCACAGACAGCTGCGAACCCATCATCCTATATCCTGTATCAAATGGATGTAGTAATGCCGAGTGGGCATTATCATGAGCATGATTGGGATGGTGAGAATGATGGGAACTCCGCTTTGGATGGCAATTGGGATGATCGATACCACCGCAACCATCCAATTGGTTGCGGATGATCATTCCTATAGCTAGGGAGCTAAGGGTTTGTCCTACCTGTCAGAGTCGGTGAAGCAAATCACAAGCAACTAAGCATCATCCACGGTTTCTGCTCGGAGATACCCATTGTTTCGGGGGCATGGATAAACTTGGAAGCCATGAGGTCGTTTATCCAGAGGCTCAAGTGCCGCGGAGCGCCCCCCTCGGAAAAACACATGAGGAAAAAAGGCTATGGTGACCATCCAAGCCTTGTTTTGACATATTTCGCTGTTTTTTGTTAAACCTTTACAGGCCAGCATGGGTCAAACTTCCCCTCCTTCTTTTCGCAGAAAGCTGATGAAATCATCATTGGGAACGTGCTTGGCGCATCTCATCTTTGGATGCTTAGGGATCGAACCAGATACAAACCCAGTGACCCAAAGGCCGTGCGCGTTTCTACGTTCGTAGCTTCTTGCTCCGTTCGTAACAATGACCTCCAACCTACTTGCGATGGCCTCCACCTCATAGCGTCCTTTGCTACTAGTAGTGTCCTTGCTCGTAGTAGCGATGCCCTTTGTTCCTGCTAGCGTCCAGGAACGTGCCAAGAACGCGCTGCAGCTGGCGCTGAATCTTGGGAGTCAATCGATGGGCTCGGCAAGCGACCTCAACCAGCTGGCAGCGCTCGAGGTCTGGGAGGAGGACATCCGCAAGGAGCCGGGAAGAGCCGGGGCGAAGACGACGACATGCTCCGGCCGTCTCTTTGCTTCGCACCAGGCAGAGTCGTGACGTAGAAAATGCACTCGTGAGGTGGGCTGGAACTTGGCGAACGGGAGGTCCACGAACATGTGCGCGAACCTGAGAAGGCTTTCTTAGAACATGTCCGTTTCCTGGAACATCCTGGAACCAATGGATCGTGCATGATCCCACTGTGTGTGCTGTGTGTGCTGCGGCCGACTTCTCCGAAGGATTACAAGTTCTCACAGAGCAGACGACAGTCCAGAACAGCTTTGGTCACAGTGACCTCGACATCGGTTCAGAAACAGGGCGGCAAGTTGTATTTCTTGATTGGACAATCCTTTTCCAGTGCTTCAGTTTCCACTTCCATGTTTAGGTAAAGCTTGTGTTGGTGCATGTCCATGCTGAATTTTCCTCAAGAGCTCGAGAGCACCTTTGCTTCGGTGTTTACGTCTGCTTTGGTGTCCACGTCTGCTGCTCAGGAAAGTGGAGCAGGTCCAGAAGGGAGTGCGCAGGATGAATGCTTTCCACCCTGCAGGCCCTTTCAAGACCTTTTGGAACATGCTCGTGGCAGCTTGTGTGCTACATGATTTGGTGATCATCCCAGTGCTCCTTGGTCAGCAAGGAGTCGAAGTCATAGATGCTCGCAGCATACTGCTCAGTCAGAATTCAGCCAGATGCTACCACTACTGTCAAGGATCAATACTGGTGATTTGGGATGGTCATTCATGGGTTCATGCCGATATCAAGCATCATAAGTATCTCTACTAGCAGGTTCATGTATTCACACTAGCTTAAAATAGCAACATAATCCAAAACCGACAGAACAACTGCGGAGAAGTCAAATGGTCAGTCGGACCACGCCAGTTTGGCCGACGAGTCTTTCCATCCCATCGGAGGTATGTCTTTGACCCCCCGGAGAACGTGCCGTTGAAAGTCTTGGAGTGGATGACGCAAATCTTTTGGCAAGCTGATCTCATCGTCGGTGCCCTCACCGGCTTCTACCGAAAGGGAACCTTGATCCTCGAGATCCGCAAATCCGCATGGCAATATCTAGTGACGTGGGGTACGTTTGACTTTGGCCTGGTCATCATGGGGTGGCTCTTCATCTTTTTGGATCTTGTGGAAGATGCTGCTTGATTCTGACTAGATTGTTCGGATGTGCTTGCAGATTTGGCCTCGCTCTGCTGGACCCCTTTCTGTCACTCTTGAGTTGGGGGACGTGTTAGGTTGCAGGGCCTCCTTTTGAAAAAAGACCACTCCTTTTTGGGGGCGGGAACGTCACACAATTCACACCTCCCTGAACGACCGGTCGCGCTGGTCGTCGCAGTTCACCGCTTGACGTGGAGCCCTGGCTCCGCCCCACCTCCTGCGCTCGGCTCATTCGCACCGGCCCGCCGTGATGCTTCGCGTCGTTCGGGACTCGGTCTTGAGGGGTCGGAACAAGCGGATCTGATCGCCTGGTCGCGGACCCTGCGGGCCATTCGCTTCTTGCGCTTCGTGCGCGTGCTACGGTGGCTGAAGCTCCGAGGGGTCACCGAGGCCTTCAAGGAGGGCCAAGCCGGGGCAAAGGAGTATGGCAGAGCTTTTTGCAAAGCGGGTTGGGGCGGCAGACCCAGGAATACTTTTGGAAAGGTCAAGGGGTTCATGGATTCACCCATTATGAAGACTTCATGGATTTCCGCCATTTCCGCAACGATATTGTCAATGGCTCACATGCACAAGCCTCCAGATTTTTGCCAAAGTCATCACGCAATTTGCAGCTAGTCCTCACGCAGAGCTCACAGATTGCACAGTGATGTTTTCATGATCATGTTTCGAGCAGAGGAGTGATACGAAGCCAGTTTTTGTTCAGTCATGGTGGGTTTACGGTAAAACCTGGTTTTCAATTTTGCTGGCAGCGTTTTGGAAGGGAAGAGCCAGTTTTTGTCATCGACAAGAGACATCAAACTGGCCGCAGGTCGGCGGTCGCGTTTTCAAGCAGTGTTTCGTGCAAATAGACGCTACGATCGGGGCTCCTGGCCTTACTACTAGGAGCAATGTTTGCTACTAGCAACAAGCGCATCGCTACTAGGAACAAGAAGCTACTATAGTAGCTCCTGGCATCGCTACGAACGGAGCGATCGGATGCTAGCTGGATGCGCTTTGCGCAGCAGGAGCTCTTTCATTCCAATACCGCGTTCTTCTACTACAGCCTCGTGAGTGCTGGCGTGCGGCTTTTGATTTTGAATCACTTGCTGGCTTGCTGCTGGTGGGGCGTTGCTTTGATGAGTCCGGACCAGAACTGGGCCAGGCAGGAAAAGGGTCGGAAAAACACGACCTACTTGGTAGCCCACCAAGACAGGCAGTCAGGTCATCTTTTTGGAGGGTTTTCTTATGTTTTCATCGCTTTCGGCGTGTGTTTGGAGCGGATGGGCCTCAGTGGGTTTTGGCTTTGGACGTTTTGGGATGCTGCACAAAGGTGTCATGGATGAAGTTCCTCCAGATTTCATGGTTTGGTCACCTTCATCTTATGTGAGTTTATTCCAGACACTTCGAGTGTTGAGGCACCGGTTTCCCGCGGTGGAACATGCCAAAATCCGTGTATAAATAACAGCTATGCAGCAATCAACAGTTAAGCTAACCCTTAAGCATGAATCATGATCAAGATTCAACACAAGCCACAACGCCTCATCAGCAAAAGATAAGTCACTCATGACCACGAATCTACAAATCACGAATCAACAGTCGTCAACGGATCACTGTCTGGCCACGTTATTGTTTTTATCAGGGACAGCGGCTTGTGGCAAGCCCCAGTTCTCGACCAATACTTGACCAGCTTGAATTGGAGTTTCGCGATGCTTGGTGTTGGATTGAGCTCCGTCAAGACGACGAATACCTTGGAGATTGCCTTCTTTGTCATCGTCGCCTTTCGATCCTTGATGACCTATGCTACCTTGATCAGCTCGATTACCAGTTTGACCAGTGCTCTAAGCAAGATCAAGGAAGATGAGACCTCAGAGTTTCGCATGCTGAGATCCTACCTTACTCACAACAGCATTGGCGCAGAGCTGAGCCACAAGATCTCCCGCTTCTTGCAGCACCAGTACCACTTGAGACAGGAAGCGAAGTCAGCTCATGCCAATGTGCCGCTGTTGGAGTTGCTCTCACCAACGCTCAGACGGGAACTGGAATATGCGCGAAACTCTGGATCCATGGAGAAGTTGGGTTTCATCGAAGAGCCTCCTGGTCCAAGCATGGCAGGTAAACACAGCCAGCATGCACCTGCTGACATGGATTTTGTTCTTCTTGCAATTGAACATTCCATCAATCATCAAGCATAGACATCGTTCCAATTTTTCTCCGTTTCGTGGCCAAGAGGTGGCCGGTCTTGGTTCGCGCCAGCAAAACTGAGGCTCCTGCCGACGGACGACTTGCAGGTCCTGCAAGTCTTGCAGGATTTGGCAGTGAATGCCATGACAGATTTGGTGGCGGCCACGAAAGATGTGATTTTTTTGTGTGGCAGCATGGCCAACCATGCCTTCTTGAAGGTCAATGGCCCACTCAGTCGCTCAAGTGCTTTCCAGCACATGTTTTCTTCCCCCGAACCGGGGGGTATTGGGAAGACGTCGATTCTTTGTGTGTTTGAACAGGCAAGTCGCATCGCTTCGGGCTTCGCATCGCATCCATTTGCTTGAGCATCTCAGCATCTGAGGCTATTTCTATAGTCAGGACGATGAAGAGCAGCAAGTCTCCGTGACTGAGGACTCTTGGATCTCTGAGATTTGTCTCTGGGCCAGCTGGGTCTATCAAGGCGACCTCGTGGCGGAGGATGTCTCGCGTTGCCGGGATGACAGCCGCGAAGGACGGTCGTCCGGTATTGGTTCACGAGGGTCCCGGTGACAGCCGGTGACGGCAAGGTCTCCGAAGGTCTCCGTTTGGGGATGAAGCGATCGCCGCACAGATGCCGCATGCCGTGTGTCCGCGCCCTCAACTCACGGTTGGGGAGCTTTGAAACGTGCTCAGGGGTCGTGAGAGTGTTTCCACGACAGTCGTCCACCGTCGGGTCGCGAAAGTGGGGGGCCAGTCAGGTCGTGCTGAGGGGTCGACCGAGGCCGGCCGTCAGGGGGGGTGCACCACGACTGAGGCTTAGTCCTTTTGGAAGTGAGCGCCTTTTGTCGCATTGTCTCCCAGTGTTCTACCACCCACCGTGCTGCCATCAAGTACAGTGACTTGTTCCTGACCACTTGGTCCACTTGGTCCAAGCAGCAGATCCTTGGAAGATCGGGACAGGCGCGGGACAGACACCAGAGGAGTTGGACGTGAACAACGGGACAGACACGGCGGAGTTTAAGTCATCCAAGTTCTGTCAGATTCTGCGCCCAAATCTTTGGACGCTGCTCTCTTTTTTTTTTTGAATTGTGAAGATTGAATCCTCAAAGTTCTGCTGTTGTGCCACTTCATATTGCCAATATATTGGTTTTCCCGTTTGCTCAAACGGGGTGTTTCAGGCCAATCTGGAAGCTGATTCCATGTGTTTTTCTTCAGAGTTAGTTCCTGGATATGACCTGACAGATGTCCTCAGAGTATTACTTGTCCTAGGTGGAGCAAGAAACCTGGGACGATGAATCACACATTGCTTCGGCAACAAAATGGTCAGAATGCTTTGACCTGGGCGTTTTTCTTTTTCTTCATGGGGATTGTATTCTGATTGTGCGGTAGCCATCATGTTGAGAAGTTCTCAAAGCGAAACTGCAACTCACCATTTGTCGTCAACCGTTTTGCCAGATGCCGAATATACAAAGGTGTTTGGAATGCCAGCGTTTGTTGCAGATTTTCCAATGGCTACAGGTTGACAAGAACCAGCAGGACGTTGGATAGGGAAGCATTCCAACACTTTTTTTGTTTGTCTAACATTGTTCTTGATGTAAAGCCGAAGGTAGCCGGAAGTGGCCGACACACACACTCGAGATATTGTGTACGGAAACTGATCGCCCCAAGCCCTGAAGAAGCCTAAGTAAGATTGCCAGGGCAAATCAGGTAGTATGTAAAGCGGTTAATTTGTTTAATGCCTCCAAAGCTCCAAAGCCTCCAAAGCCGCGAATACACACACAACCAAACATTTCCTGTTTGTGACGCAAACTTGTTTGCGTAGGGAAAACAGGCTGGAACGTGTGTCGTGTGGTGGAAGCTTGGCAAATCACACGTGCATGCTTTGCTTCTCAAGTCCCCAACTTCAGAGGAGGTAGGTCTCCTCGCGATGTACCTTGAAATCTTCTTGGTAGCGGCATTTGTGTTTGGATTTGTTGCTGGGTGCCTGGTGATACGTCGTTGGTGTCGCGTGGGCGTGATTTGCCCCCTTGTGTATGCATCGGTCCTGCCAGCTTCGCTGCCTTACATTGGGAGTGATTTGGGTGTATGGCGGGCCCACCGCTGCCCAGTTGGCGACCTTGGACTCCATTGATCGCATCCGTGCACACTGCCATTGTTCAGAGCAGGTGTGGCAGGCCGTGGACAGATCGCTGGGGGACGTCGCAAGTCCCACTCTTTTTGCCATGTTACCGGCATCGACATTGAAGGACACACTTCGCACCGTGCGCGTGGGCGCCGAACCAGATGCAAGAGCTCTGCAGGCCATGGAATGCACTCACGTGGCCTACATGTGGAGGGTTTGCCGGCAGAGCTTGATGATGGAGGACATCGATCCCTTAGCAGATCCAACCCCACCAGTTGGAGGGGGAGCTACACCACCGGCTGTAGCTGGTGCATCGCCTACCAAGAAGGTGAAAGTCTCCAGTGTGACGGACCAGATGGACGACTCAGAGATCGACATCATGTCGAGGGCCGAGCTAGATCAAGCTCATCTCAACCACATAGAGATGACTGGTGCCGAGCCCCAAGACGATGCAGAGCCGACTGGAGAACAAGTGGCAGCGCTCCAAGATCGCATCATTCGGAGAGGAGAGAGCCCATGTATGCAGACTTCTCGATCCTGACTCCTTTTGGGAGGACGATGCAGAAGCAGCTGAAGACTCGTTCGTGGTTGCTCCAGCAAGACGGCGCCTTCAAAGCTTTGGATATCCCTGGACCTCCGAGCTTCGAAGCGTGGAAGGTGTGCTGGCGAGTGTTTCAAGCTATTCTCTTCATGTTGAGGTATCCAGGACCCGCGCCGACAGATCCACCTTTGAAGGTTGTCACTGCAGCATGCCTGGAGGAGTACTTCGACCGCATTGCAAAGTTGAACCAGGACTTCCCAGAGACGTGGCGCCTGATCATGAAGGCAGAGGACAAGTGCAGATCCGAAATGTTCGAACGCTACAGGCCGCACTTGACAAAAGCAGTGGCAGAGAATCGACTGCCAATGGGGCTGGAGTTCCTGCCAGAGCAGCCTTGGATCGGGGTGTTCACGCATGCTGCAAGACATCGGGAATACTGGAAAGAGCATGTGATTGGGCCAGCCACAATGTTCATCCCAAGAGGGGGCAGGAACATGACTTTGGACAAAGCCAAGCGTGTGAACATGCCACCACCGGCGAAGGAGTCCCTTGGGCTGGAAGAAGATGGCCCATCCCAGAAGAAGAAGAAGAAGAAGAAGAAGAAGAAGAAGAAGAAGAAGAAGCCCGAAGGCGAAGCTCCTCGTGGATCGGCGAGCCAGGGAGGAGGAGAAGATCACCCCCAGAAATCCGGGAGATTGTCCAGAGCCATGCAATGATGGTCGGATCCATTCATGCCAGACTTGCCTGGGAAAGCATCCCAATTCCCAATGCCCGGAGAAGCCCAAGACGAAGGGCAAGGGGAAAGGCAATGGACTTGCTGAACATCGACGAGACCGTTGAGGAGGAGGTCGACCTGTCAGCAGGTCACAGTGGCACAGCTGCAAATGTGATGGGTGTAAACGCCGTGAAGCCCCAGCAGGCCGAGGAGACGGGCAAGGACTTCGAGAACCCTGAGGTACAACATCGTTCAGGTTCTCATGGGAAGCTGGGACATCCTCACAGACGATGGCTATACGAACACGCCAAGAAGGCAGTGGTGAACGCAGACCACACACACATCGCCTTTCCACGCAGGAGTTTCAGCCGGACACGAAGGTCAGACAGCTACGGCTCAGTGCAAGTCGTGAGAACAGAAGAGTGGCCCGAAGGTTGGGGCTACCCCATTCCAGAGGAAGGGAACAAGATCCTGGAGCGGGTGCTGGCACTGATTTATTTGATCGAGGATGCTGGCAAGACCTGGTCAATAGAGAACCCGGAGCACTCCTTTGCATGGGACCACAGCAAGATGACCAAAGTCCTAAAGCTGAAGCATGTGCACAATGTGGCTTTGGATCAATGCCCCTATATGGTGCACACTCAACAAAGGACGACGTCAGCATCGTGGATGGCCAGGGTGAAGCTTCGATGCAAGGACGCGCGGCCTCACTTCCATCTCCCTGGAGGACTTGTTGGGAAAACCTGGGGCGCCGTAGCCCAGGGCATGGTGTTGAAGACCTCACGGGCAGCCGAATACCCGTTTGGCCTGTGTCATGCAGCTCCTTGAATGGTTGGAGAGTCCAGCCGGATACAGGCAAACCAGCTGAAGGTGCTCAAGGAGAGGCTGAGCGTGCTGAAGCGCCAAAGAGAAGAGCTGGTGCAGAAGATGACCAACAGGCCAAAAGAGGCAAGGCAAGAAGACCAACCTGGAGAACACTGTGCGAACCCAGAGGACAAGTCAAAGAAAGAAGTGAGGGAAGAAGAGGATGCGGCTGCCATCGGGGGACTTCGAGACCCTCCGAAGGCAGTGGCAAATAGCAAGACGCTCAGAACAACGGGCCATCGCATCAGACAAGCGCTGGAGCTTAGCATCAGTGACAAAGACATACAGCAGTTTGAAAACGATATGAGCATGGCCCCTGAGCTGATCCAACGGGCTAGGCAAGCCTTGCATGAGGAATTTGATGTCAATGAAAAGGCAAATGAAGAAGGAACCTTTGAGAGCAATGCTGGAAGCCGCAGCCGATGCGATGCGGTGGGCGTGCCTTTGGGCATAATAAGTGTGCCAATTGAGCACACGAGTGTCTTTCCTGCCACGGATGATGTGTCAGCCTCGATCAAAGCGTCCCAGACAATTGGCATCCTGCTTGAGGACTGGAGTGGTGAAGCCATGAACTACTCCTCGTTCTACGATGCAGGGAGTCGGGCACAGGCAGAGCTGGACAGGATGGTCAAGTCAGGCAGAGCAGATCGTGCATCGTCGTGGCAGGAAGTGGTCGCGCTCGTTGGCCCCGAGGCAAAACTGACGCAGCTTGCGTGCATCGAGAAGGTAACCAGGCTGATGGTTGACATGCGTAGGTCGGGCGTCAATGGACGCATGACTTTACTTGAATGCATCTGCCTACCTAGGATCTCTGATGTTGCAGTAGCTGTTCATGAACTTTTGAAAGACATGCATTCATGCGAACATCTAGAGATGATGGTGATAGATGTCTCAGATGCCTTTTACACCCTACAATTAGATTCTCGGGAAAGGGCATGGGTATGCATTAAAGCTCTGGATGGAACCTACATCCTCCCCAATTGTGTCCTTTGGACTTGCGCGTGGACCCGTGCTTTGGGGTCGTGTGGCTGCAACAATCATGCGGCTAGCGCAGGCCACCTTTCCCACCAAGACTGCGTGTCTCCAATGTTATGTCGATGACCCCATCATTATCGCCAGTGGCAAGTCTTCACCACTCTCCTTTGGTCCTCGCTTGGATTTAAACTGGCGTGGCGCAAGACCCAAAGAGGGACCACGATCGATTGGATTGGAGTTCGACTGGCGTTAATTGGGGTTCAGGCTAGGGCCTTGGAGGTTTCGCTTTTCCCGGAAAAGGTTGCCAACATTTTGGAGGCGATCGGTGAAATAGAGCCCTACAAATCCGTGATTAACATTAAGCGGCTGGAACAGCTGTGTGGGTTGCTGTCATGGATTTCGCATCTCATTCCGCTGGCAAGGCCATGGACGAGCCAGCTCTGGGCAGGAGTGGCATTGTCACAGAGCCGGCCAGCGACGGGGCCCAAGCGGGCTCACACCGACACCGGGAGAGGAAGGGACCGACCTTTGTTCGTCAGGTGAGGCATCCATTGCATTGGTTGCGTCGGATGCTGTCGCTCAAAGGGTGTGGGTGTAGTGACACAAACCTGAAGCCGTTAGTTCGGACTTACAGGTGGGACGCCTCGCCAAGAGCGGTTCGGGTCGAAACTGATGCTTTTTTTAACGGGCTGAGGCGCCGTCCTTTTCGTGAGTGAGAAACCCACACACTATATCGCGCGTGTACTGACCGAACAGGATTGTGCGGATTTAGGGGGGCAAGCACAGTTGCATGGTCCAGCGTATCAGTCAGAATTTGAATTGCTAGCGATTTATGTGTCCAGTCATCTGTTTTCCAAACTGTTTAACAGTGAACCGATCCCATTTCACTTGCAGAGTGGCAGTATACGTCCGCTCTCCACACAGCTTTGACCCTGAGGGGCAAATCATCCCTGATGTCGTTGCTGGCAGGAGAGATTGCATTGCAGTTGGAGGCACTCGAACTGGACGCCTTGTGGGGTAGGCACCTGAGAGGGGTGCTCAACGACTTAGCTGATCCGCTGTCCCGCATTAGTGAGGGTCAGTCCATCCCACAAGCGTTGCGACATGCGCAACGAGTGACGGTGCCACCTTTGCGTTCGATGTTTAGAGCATGGCCTCAAACTGCGAGTCAGGACGAGTGAAAAGGGGTCGCGCAGCTGTTTTGGGAGATCTTGAAGACACGGCAGGAGCAGCGACTTCAACTGGAGCCTGGCTCAACTGAGTCAGGTGATGTACCGTTGATTGGGCAGTGGGATCGAAGCCTTCCGCTACGATGTGGGGATCATCGGCGACACGTTGCCTGAGGCGCATGGGTTTGTGCCCACGGAAGTCAGTGGCCATTCATTTCGAAGAACTGGAGTGAAATACATGGCAAGAAAGAACGCACCACTAGCAGCTAGCACTGATCATCCAATTCTTTGCACGCCGCTCCTCGAATGCTGTGCTGGGATACGTCCAAGAAGCTTATGAAGAGTCGCCGGAAGGCAACATGCAGTTAGTCCAGCGCATATAACTTCGAGACCAGAGTGCTGCCCTCACAGCAAAGACAAACGACATAGCGCGAGATTATGAAAACTTGTAGGTGGAATGCGAAGACATGGCAAACCAGCATGCGATGCCACTAGATCGCAACGCTGTGCTCAAGATGTTCAACCAGTGGGCGCAGCCATCAGTGGTGGTCAATGTGAGCGCGGGCAAGATCCGTGGAGGGTATGAAAAGAGTGGCAATGCATGTTCTTGTAGATGTGCTTTCTTGTACTTGCGCCGGAAGTCGAATCGCGTCGTGAGACACGCCGGCCGATAAGGTCAAACAACAAGCGCGAGCGCATCATTACCGGGACACCCAGTTTTCGCAGGCTAGTCCTGCTTCCGGTAGTTCGGAAGGTGTGCCTGGTAGCGATAGTTCGCTCAAGGAACATGCACCCTCATATGTGATCAGCTTGCAGTAAAGGTCGCACCTGCAGCACAGAGTTGTATACATGACGTGTGATGTAAATTTGAAAGGGTGGTAGGAGGGGAAGTTGACGTTGAGTGT